TAAAAACAACCTCACCTGTGTGATACGTATTATAATATGGGGCTTTTCCTCTGTGCTCCTTCTGGTTACAAGATGAACATTATTTCATCACACAAAAAGAAATCTATATTTGACATCCACTCGGGATAGTCAGTTTAGTCACTTAAAATTAGCCAGTTGTCACCATCATAGTTGTTTTCGACACATCCTAGGTCAACAGAAGTGTATTATTGAATATTGCAAAATATTTGGGGAAGTTTCTTTTGGTTCTTGGTCACCTTTTGGCTCGTGGCCTCCTAGGGGAAGGCAGGGATACCAGATTGCTGCCCTCATGAGCTGTGGTCTCTGGTTCTCTTACCTCAGAAGCAGCCTCGGCTTTAGGCACAACCAAGGTGATTGGCATGGAGCTAGACCAGTGGTTCTCAATCTTCCTAATGCCGTGACCCTTTGATACAGTTCCTCATGTTGTGGTGACCCCCAACCATAAAATTATTTCCGTTGCTACTTCATAACTGTAATTTTGCTACTGTTATGAATCGTAATGTAAATATCTGATATGCAGGATGTATTTTCATTGTTACAAGTTGAACATAATTAAAGCATAGTGATTAATCACAAAAACAATATGTAATTATATATGTGTTTTCCGATGGTCCAAAGGGGTTGCAACCCAAGGTTGAGAACCGCTGAGCTAGACGGAGGTGCTCGCAAGCTTGTGTGCAGACTGATTTTCTCTTGATTTCTTTTAACTTTATGGCTTGGCTGTGAAAAGCTCAATTTAAGAAAAAAATTCATTTCACAAACCAGATTTATGCTTTCATGTAATGCAGTAAGAACCGAAAAGTGTGCAGAGAAAGGGGGCTTTTCCTGTTGTGCCTGGTGTTTGGCACAGGTGTATCCTCACCTGTTTTGCGTGTTGGGTACGTGTGCAGTGATTACATGAAGAGAATGTGATGTAAGGTGCTTTGATCAGTGCTTAGCACAGGGTAAGTGCTCAAAAGCAGCAGTGTTTTTGTTATTAGTGGTTCTGGAGGTGTTTAATTGCCTGGCAGTTTTAATAGAAAGCGATTGTAGAAGACTGCTCATACCCATAAATCCTTCCAGAGAGAACAGCTCTGAAACTCCATCTGCACGGCTCCTTGTTCTCCAGAAACATCACGCCTAGGATGCTGTCTTCTGGAAATCTCATCTCTGCTCGCAGCACACCCTTGTCCCAACTCTAGGTGGTCTGAACTCGGGAATTCCTTCCATGCCTGTAATTGCAAATAGTTTGTGGCACCTAATTTGACTTAACTTTATTTGTGTATATTTTGGCTCCCATTTGTTCTTCCATATTTTTTTTTTCAACGAATACATTACTTATTGAGCATTTACCATATGTCAGCCCTTGGGCATTCGCTATTGAATCAGACACACCTGGGACCCGCTGGCCCTCAGGGAGATAGATTGTAAATTCCTGATGATCAGGATCTTCTACTTTTTCTTGTCCCTGAGAGTCTGGCATGAAATACGGCACTTTCGTTGTTATACTCACATTCCTCCTGTTTGTTCCCCTGTTGCCTTAGAAACAGCGAGGGTTCCTGGGAGGGAAGAAAGTGGCTGCAGGGGCTCGAAGGCATATAGTGGTGACGTGTACAAGAAATCTGTGATTCAGGCTCAAACTCGGCCTCGCCCTTTGTCTATGGAGAAACCATAACCTCATCAATTAAAGCCACTGCTATGCTGACCAGTTTATATATATACATGCTTACAAAGTAAACCTCTAAAGCACTCAATTATTGGGTCTTTTTCTATGGATTTGCATAAAGAAGCAATCATATTTTTAAGGAACACTTGAAACAGGTACTTTTTCAGGGGAAAGGGTAACATTCTTGCTTTACTTTTTGCTACAATATATTCTGAAAAGTGAACGGACTCTTTTCACGCATTAGAAATAGTGAGTTTTATCGAGATTTACTTTCCCTGAGCATATTAGGTATGCTTATTGAAATCTGAGGTTCTTCCCCTTCCCTTTATGGGTTATGGCTCCCCCATCACTGGCTGTTACCGCTTTTCATGCGATTTGTGCCCCTGAAAATATGGTCTAAAATGTGGAGATCTTTGTTGGCACATCAGCCCATGTGTCACGTCTTCTTGGCCTCACCCATCAGCACCAGCAAAAGCTGTAACTCCGAGTTGGTGAGTGAAGAGAGAGTCATGAGGAGTTACTTACATGGGTGGGAGGACATCTCCGATGAGTCCTTGGTTAAGCAAGAAGAAAATGTATCTCATGAAGGAAACAAGATCTTGGGAGCATTTTGAATGAAGGAAGAGCTCAGTGAGCCAAACTTTAGACATAGGGTGTGATGTGGGAGAGTTCTAAGATATGCAGAGATGATATACAGCTTGTGGGGGTGGGGGAGCTGATGCATATTTTGAAAAAAATTGACTGGATGGACAAGAAAATGGGTCCATCTGGCTGCTAAGGATGCTGACGTCTGAGGCCCGGGCAAGCCCCGGGGGCACTGGTCCAGGGTGAAAACTGATGGGTGTGAAGATCAGGCCTGTGAGAGGAGGCAGGATGCAGATATCCTGGTGCAGGCCTTGGCTGTGATTTATGAATACTTCTAACAACAGCTCACATGTGGTGGTCGCTCTGTGTCAGCTACTAAAAGAGAAGATTTAGGGTAGAAAATATTTGACGTGAGGTGGGAACCCCAGGCAGGAATTGGCCTCTGGTTCTTGGTTGCAGTGAAGGTTTCCTAAGAAGGTTAAGGAATAAAACTGAGAAAAGGGATGTGTCCGGCAGGTGAGTGAGATAAGGCTCACACGATTTCATGGGTAGTGATTGCCAGGCCTTCTGCCCCCACTTCTTGACTACAGGGACGTATCGGAAGCACATAAGGGGCAGGGGTAGAGACTAAAAGGGCTCTTCCACAGACATTCTGATTCCATCCCTCCACCAGAAGTCTTTGTTTTCTTACTCACAAAGATGGACTTGCCTAGAGAGACCACACTGGCACTCAGGAGGTTGGGGGAGTACCCAGGAGTCCTTCAGTCCTTTGGAGTTGAATTTCTAAAGCATCTCCCCAAGAACCTGGAAAAATGGTCAAGAGGATCAAAGAGAGACCCTTACTAACTGGTAATCTTCATTTGTCCAAAGTTCTAGAGAATTCTTCAAGTATGCACACATGTTTGTATGAAATTCGTCATTGTTATAAAAAATATTCATTCTGATATTATGTTAGGTGATTTTTGCTCTCCTTTCCTTCCTCCCTTCCTTTCATTCTTTCTTTCTTTTTCTTTTTGTTAATGAATAAATGTCATATGTCCTGGCTATAAAAGCTTAATAACAAAAATAAAGTGTGTGTAGGGGGGACTCCTCTCTCTTTGGGATTGTAAAGTAGCGTTCCCAAGGAAAATGACAAACCACTGTCGGCAACATGCATTTTCCTGCCATAAAAACTATTGGATTTTAATATAAATCCAATAATGTAATTTCTGTTATGTCCTGTGATGCTTCATAACCACCCTCATGCAATTTTCAGAAAATTAATACCATTCATTAGCATAAATCATAACCTGTTTCCTCAGTACGGATTTGACATTGGGGGTGCCTCACCATCCTGGCTTCCTCTCTCAGTGAATTACAACCCATTAATTGTTATGGCTGGTGGGCTTCCCTGCTTAAATAAAGGGTCTGATTGGCGGGATTCGGGATTCAGACATGACGCTTTGTTCTCGGGCTTTAATATTTTAATGAGCCTGAAGGCTTGGCTGCGTACAGAGGAAAGAGCTGGGATTTCTAAGTGTGTTGTTGGTGTTAGCACTTGTAGAAGGATGTTCATTAGGAAGCTCTTGTTTCAGTTTCTCAGAGAAACTCCCCATTAAGAACGATCTTTCAGCAGCATGGCTAGCAAGAAAGAGGTAGGGGAGGGGGAAAGCTTTTAGCTGTAAGCATTAAGGGGATATTGTATCAGTTGTCTTAGTTCTAAAGATTTGCTTCTGAGAATTAATTGGAGCAAATACATCTCCAGGGAAGGGAAGAAAGGGTTGGTGGAGCAAGGACAGTAGCTGCTGTCCTTGCAAGTCAGGGACTCTTCATCTTGCAGCTGAATCAATACTACAACTAATTATTTCTAGTTATCTTTTATGGGTTTGTAAGACATTTCTTTTGTTCACTGTAATAAAAAACCCATTGTTTGATCAGTGACTGACTAATTATGATAAGTAATTTGAAGCATTCTTGATGAAACTTGTCTGTTAATTAACATCAACAGCCAATGGAAACTAACAAGACAACAAAGTATTAGTGCACCCACTGTTCCCTGGCGCTGATGCCATCTTTCTGTGGCATGCCCAATAAACGAAAGCTGCCAATGGTTAAAAAATAACAAACAGGTGGGGAGGGCTGACTCACCAGCAGGAAAAGTTATTGTAAAGTTACACAAAGGAGTACTGAGCTAGTAAAGCGAGGGGGTAGTAAAGAAACGTCAGCAGGCTGATTGGTCCTGTTGCGCAGGGCAGCGATTTTCAACCAGTGTGTCGAAAGAGGCACACTGATGTGCCACAAGAATTAAAAACATAAAAAGAAAACATGCAGTGCCTGACTATTTAGTCAGAGGCACTGACCTCTTTTCCCTTGGGTTATCAGGTAAAAAATGGCAACAGCCAACACAACAATAGCCATCAGGTGTGAATGAATCAAAATTATGCCTTTTTGGGGGTCAGATCGACAATATATATATATATTTTTTGGTGTGCCACAGAATTTTAGTAATTAGTTTGTGTGTGCCATGAGATGAAAAAGGTTGAAAATTGCTGGTGTCGAGCAAGGAGAGTGGTTCTTTCTTTTCTCTAAAGTTTAATCCCTAAATACATTCATCCCATGCTGATCTGAACTAAGATACTTTTGGCAAATAAAAGTTTGGATATATAAAATTGTAATTTGGAGTTATTGGCATCATCTGGCTATTTTGTGATAATTATTAATACTGTTAACTTTTGTCAACTCAATTTTTTTTTTATTTTTATGCTTTTAGATTTCTACCTGGACAAGGACTGGTACTATACCCACAGATAGGAGACAAATTGGATATTATTTGCCCAAAAATGGACTCTAAAACTATTGGCCAGTATGAATATTATAAAGTTTATATGGTTGATAAAGACCAAGCAGAAAGATGCACTATTAAAAAGGAAAATACCCCTCTCCTCAACTGTGCCAGACCAGACCAAGATGTAAAATTCACTATCAAGTTTCAAGAATTCAGCCCTAACCTTTGGGGTCTAGAATTTCAGAAGAACAAAGATTATTACATTATATGTAAGTATAATTCTATTTATTTATTTATAGAGATTAGGATAAGCTAAATAGGTTTGTATCTAGTTTTGCTTCATTAAAAGTATTATTGTGGCAAATATTTGGTGATAATCCATTTTTGGGAAAGAAACCTTAATTGAACGTGGGACCCTATACTAATAGTACTCATTAAATATAAATACCTAAAGAGAAAAAAAACATCCTAGAGTTTTTATAGCATTGAAATAAATGAATATATATATGAATATACTCAGAATCTCTACTAACAAAAGCATTTTTAAGGACCATTGGTGAGATTTTGCTGGGTAACTCTTGTGCTGTGACATTTCTCTTCATCCATTCATCCATCTATCCATTCACTCATTCATTTATATTTCCTCTGTGCCAGAAACTGTACCTAAGTACTATGGATTCAACAGTAATAAGGGCATAATAGTACCTTTTCCTCATGAAGGCATCAGTGAGATGGAGCATATAGGTTCGAAGGATGGGTGTTACAAACCACAGTTGTACATGGGCACGTCAAAACCAGATTTAGAAGAATAAGACAAAAGTTGGGGTTGCTCAACCAATTACTTTTTAAAAATCTATCCAGCAATTTGATACATTGCATCAGGAACAGATATCATGTACCCTTTGAGTCATATCTGAGCCATTGTCCTCTCATAAGGCTGTGAAGTCACATGGTGCACCCCCTGGAGCACGTGCCTACTCAGTGCAAATCCCATCCTAGCACACAGCCAGGGTCGTTCTAGGGCCAGGGTTTTGTCAGTGCAGTCTGGGTGACTGAGACAGCTCTTCACGTCACTAAAGCGATGAAGTATTTTTTTCTTAATTTCTTCTGTTTAAAATTTTGCTCACTTACCTGTTACCATCGTCTTCAGTTCCTTAGGGAACACTTAACTGCTGTCCATTGGCTGCACCCTCCCATCTCTGGGTGACCAGGTTAAAACTCTGCTTTCTCAGCCTATTAGCTGCTCTTTTATAAAGCTCAGGATCAATAATTCACTGAATAGTGACTTAGTGCTCAATAACGTATTATTTTTACTACATTAGCAATGAAAACCAAAGTGGTCATAGCCGTCCAATTCTCTTGTTGTCCTTTGCTGTAAACCTTAAATGCCACAGAGACTGAAACCCTATTTGTAGGTGAACCTGATACACAGAGAGTGGCTGAGCAAGAATAAGTAACAACAACAACAAAAACACACAAAAAGGAAAAGTGGTAAATTATATATTTAAAGAAAGAATTGTTGTAAAATGAAAATAGAAGCATTCTAAGGGATGAAACAAGTAGATTGGGTGGTAAAGTGTACAAAATAATAGAGAAATTTTTGAGAATCTAAAATAGTTATTAGGTAAAAATAAATGGAAACTTTAAGCTTTTGGAAGCCTAGTGGCTTTTTTTTTTTTTAAGACAATTTAAGTAAGACTTTACCAAGGACACTAATGTTTAGCATACCATTTATAGGGAACTGAAAGTGACTTTAGATAAGTTCATTAAGAAGGTCAATCCCCCTCGGTAGGGTGGAAGAAAGAAAGAATATGGAGGTGGCGGGGGATGCCTGAAGAGCGGATGCCGTAGAGTATCAGATGTGCCTGTGGTGTTAGATGTATGTCATTAGAGCTGTACCTGCAGCCCAAGCCCACGGATTGGCTCTTCCATGCAAACCAGTCAACAGACCCAGATTCTCTCCTCCATGTACTTTAGTTTATGACTTCCTGAAGACGGCTTTTCATTTCTAAGTTCCCAGTGAGTGCAAGTGGGATTTCAGCAAACACGGGGCTAGTCTTTAGTCTGAATGTGCAGGAAATAACTATAAATACTAAATAAGCAACATCTTTTTGTTTAATATAGTGAGCATTTAATAATAAATGACTTACCAACACATGATAGGTTTGTGTTTAGAACCACGGTTTACTTTGTGATTAATTATAATACTAATCTACACAATGATGACATCTCTTATTTTTCTTCCCCGAAAAACTCATTATTAGATTCATTGCAGGTAGCTGAGCTCTGCTGGCCCCCAGAACTCTCCATAGAGTTCTGATTTACAGTGCAAAAGCCTGGGGTAAAGGAATTGTTCTTAAAATAGAGTTGAGCATTTCCAGGTTGAAACAATGAGAGGCGGTTTGAATGCTGCTGGTTGGGTGATTGTCACAGGGCTGGGTGAGGGGCCCAGAGCTCAGAAGTGTGCCGGGAAGTCCACGCAGACTCTCCACAGAGAGTTGAAAGGCTTCCACCACGTCACAGACATAGGAAGACCTTTCAGAAGTTGGGAAAGTGCAGAAACCGATTTCTCACCCAGCCTACAGCAAAGCTCACTGATACACAGCTTTCCCTGGGAAAGAGACTAATGATGAGAAGAACACATTTTAAAATAGTTTAAAAAGTTAATGCTAACTTTTTTTGCTTCTTCAAGAATCCCAAGGCACCAAAACAATTAAGAGATTTTAAAAAGTGACTACTTTTCACATCAAACAATCTTTTAACCATGTATATGTAAATAAACATATATATATTTATTGGTTTCAGAGAGGAAGGGAGAGGGAGAGATAGAAACATTAATGATGAGAGAGAGTCATTCATTGGCTGCCTCCTGCATGACCCCACTGGGGATGGAGCCAGCAACCCAGGAATGTGCCCCAACCACTGAGAATCGAACCTTGACCTGGTTCATAGGTCAATGCTCAACCACTGAGCCACGCCAGTTGGGCACACATCAAACAATCTTAATATCTCTCTCGCTCTCTCTCTCTCTCTTTCTCTCTCTCTCTCTCATAGTCACATTCTACTTAAAATAGTACTATACTAGGTAGTATGAGAAAAAAACCTAAAATTTACAAGTATATGTTTAACACTTCAAATCATCAATTCATTTTGAAATAGTCAATAAATAATACTGGTGTCTTTAAGTTGCTACAATATATGCTGCATATGCTTAATTTCAGATCTTAGTGTCTACTTAGCACCTTCAAAACTAAGAAAATCATCGATATGATTTTCATCATCAATATTAAAATCATCAATATTGTGTGCTGCTTTCTTTCCATGGCGAGAAAGAAGAGAATTGATAGTTATGAGTAGTACTGCATTACCCTGCAGGGGAACAGTCCAAATTGCTAATGGACTGAATTGGTGCCCTAGATTTCCTGATTCCAGAGCACTGGGCCCAGGGATGTGGGTTCTAGTCCTGCTGCCTGAGCTTAATAAGAAAGTAGCTTTATTTCTTTGAATTTTAATTTCTTCTCTAGAAACTGCTGTTGTTGTTGTAGATCTGGCTGGTGATGGAAGTCTCCAGTTCCCAACTATGATTGTACATACACATCCAATATAGGATCTCTTGTTAGTGTAGCTTTTCTCCCATTGAAATAGACAGGATCTGCTGTAAATTATTTCAAGATGTTTAATTTGACTTGTAGTATTACCATATTTAAAATACAGGCATCATACTTTTGAGTTTCAGAAGTAAATATTAATTTTTAATTGGAAGTATATTTTAAGCCTACTAAGTATATACTCATCACATGACAAAATGCTATGAATCCTCATTAAATCTCATAGTTGGTTATTTGCTTTGACATGTGGCAAAATGATATATGCAGGTTTTCTGAATGTTTAGAATTGACTTTTTCAAGTGACCTATTTTTGTAATTAGCCTCAGGCCTAATTTGCATAATAAAATCTCTTAATCTTAAATGATCCAAAGGTAGGGATGTTAAGGTCATTTGGTCTGAAAAAGCCCCATTTTATACTGCATTCCGATTCTTAATTACCTTAAAATCATAGTAAGCATTTTTCATAACCTATAGTTACTTTTATTATGTCCTTAAAATTTAAAAAGAGTTTATGAAATAACTATCTCTGAAGTTGCCTGTTGTCAAGGGCAGTTCTGTCTTAGTAAACGCTTCAGTTAATACTAGGAAAGCATTTCTAACTGTTCTCAGCCTTCATATTTGTGTCCTAAAGTTTTCTTATAGACACTCTTGGTGCTTGGTTTGAATTTCTTTTTAGAGGTGATAGAGTTGAATGAGTCAACAATTTTGGTGTGTTGACCCTTTGCAACATCCAACATTATGAAGGTTCTGTGGGTTAGTTAACCAGCCTTCGCTTAAAATCTTGCAAAATAGCCACGAAGAGGTTTTCATCACAGGACAAAATTATGTGAGTCAGAAGACAGACAAAAATGAGTGTCATTGGATGAATACTGTGTCAGGAAACAGTGGCCAGGACAGAGGTGCTAATAAAAGAATACTACATGCTCAGAGCACCTTCCAGTTTAGCTTATGTGGCTTTTATGTTATTTTACTTCAAATCTGTAGCCCAGACATGGATTTGTGGGAAATTGTCTGATTGTTTCCATTAAAAGTTGTTCTCGAAGGTACACCCTGCCATCCTTCCGAAAGCCATCCCTCATTTTCTGTGCCTTGGGAAACTCTTCCCTGAGAAACACTGGATGAGTTAGAATGAGTCACCATTCTTCGGCCCTTTATTGGCTTAGTTCTCCAAAGCATTTTTTTTTTTATCAGAGCATATAAAATGGGAAGGCTCCACAGTCAGCTATGCTATTTTTAGGCATAAACTCCACTGCTGAGCAAAATTGCAAAATAAATTAAAACACTTGCACACAAATATCATGAAACACTATTTTTAGAGAATCAAAACAGAAGAACAGATTTCATTTCTGTATTTTTGTTGAATGTGTCTATATATTTGTTTTTTTATTTCCTTGTATTTGGGGAGTAGATGGGGCAAATGGCACTAAAATATACTGAATGTACTGTATTTTCCCCAGGAAAATAGTTAAAATAGTTGTGGGAGCTTTCAAATATTCTTTTACACCTAGCTTTTTTGAAGAATGTATAAGAACTAGAGGCCCGGTGCACGAAATTCATGCACTCAGGGGGGGGGGGTGTCCCCTCAGCCAGGCCTGAGCCTTCTCACAATTCAGGAGCCCTTGGGGCATGTCCAACTGATGGCTTAGGCCCCGCTCCCCAGG